CTTCTTTCGTATTTCGTACAGAAATGTACAGTCGATGTCCTGAGGACCGACCGATTCCGGTCGGATCTTCGCAGAAAGAAAGCTTAAATCGGGGTTAGGGAGGGCGGGAGAAGAAAAACTCTTAAGAATCTTTAACCAAAACGGCAACGGATATATGAACAATCGCATTCACTCAGATTATGCAAATCCGCAGACAATCCGAGCACTTGGTCGGTGTAAGCATGGAGTTGTCACTTCGCACACAAGTGTGCTACACTACATACATACACTTACGCATATACATTTATACATATATACATTACAAATACGTTACTTGTACATCAATAGTTATAGATCTAGAGAGAGGGAGAGAGGTTCGTGTCTTTGGTTGCTACACATGCAGGAAAGGCTGCCCCTCCCCTCATATGTACCCAATGTTGAACGGCATGATTTCGTATATTTGTGAAAATGTCATTACAAATATACACGCGGACACGCGCTTTGTGGAGATCAACCTTCAGCAGATACTTGCACGTATACTACACTTGCGTTTAGTCGCTGGCTTCTAGCTGGCTTTATACGCACGGGGATTGTTCTAAGCTAAGGCTCACTCCAAAGGCACTTACTGCCTTGTATGGTTACCATAGCACCCCAACGTGGAATAACCCAGCCTATGGGGTGCACCGGCCGTCATCGGCCCATATTGGCTCGGGTGAAAATTAAGGATTCAAAGTCAAGCTAAGCGGAAGCCGATCTTCCAGGTTTTGTCTTCTGTTCTCTCTCTCTCTCTCTCTCTCTTTATCCAACCTTTTCCTTGTCATCTTTCTTCTTGTCGCCGAGGACCTTCCAACAACGATGATCACCAAACTACATCAGCAAGTCCACAAAAACTCAGTCCGCAGCATCCCTTCTAGCCCGATGCATTAGCCTTAGATTCTACTTAGATGTAGACACATCTCTACCTGTTGTACATGTTTGTCAGGAGTAAGCTGAGTCACCGACTTTTTGAAGCAGGGCTTTGACACAGGAAACGTGTACGAGGTGGTATGGCCTGCCAAAAACAAGACCACCCGAGACCCAACCAACACAAACAAATACCAAATCCCCACCCTTCCGCACGAAGGTGACGAAGTGCTCGGCCTCCCAGGTGCTGACGTGCCCACTACGACAAAGCACAATCACGACACATACAAACAAGCCTTTATACCCTTCGTCTCCGCCACTTTTTTTCCTGACACGAAAGCAAACCCCCCACGCCCCGGCCACACCATTTCGTCCCTCAACAACACAGCACGACATTCGGCCTCCAGCAATTCCTCGCGGTCCTTTTTCTTTTTGGCGTTCGTCTCCTTGCGCTTCTCCATGCACTGAACGAGTGCACTTTTGCAAACGCAAAACAAAAAACGGGACACACAAAAGCCGAGAGCCCCACGCACCACCAGCAATGGTGCGTCTTCGTCCGCGGAGACGTGTAGCTCCCGCAAGTCGCGAACTCAGTGGGAAACGGATAACACCCCGACAACACTCGCCCTGATCACCCCTCCTAACCCCCTTCCCACCCTTCTCAGACCAGAACATTGAGGCACTGCCATGTGTCTTGATCCTCCTCCACAGCCACCTGCGTGTCGTGCGGCGGCCCGGGTGCCACCAACCGGTCCAGCCTCGGCAGGGGACGCACGAAAAGTCGCCGAGCGCCTGCCTTTCAGGTCGCGCTGCTGTCGTCGCCGCGCCAGCAGCACGGGGAGCGGGACTCGTCCGCGGCCATGACAGAGGTCGCAGGTCGTCGGCCGGCTGCTGTAGGAAGCTTGAGCCCACGCAGCATAGTTCGTGCTGTGACTGTGCAGCCCTAGCTAGAGGGCACATGGTCAGTGGACGCAGGGCTTCCTAACACCCCTCCAGGGAAGAACCGACTCGAATGGACCGGGAATCCTCAGTGTGTGTCCATTTAGTGCAGACAAACACAACATA